GGGGCAATAAATCACAACTAAATACATGTATCTGAAGAGTAGGCATCCAAAAGAAACTTTTTTCAGAGGTTTTCGGGGTAATTTAGAATGTAAAATTATTTCACTTGGTGACTTCGAATTTAAACTTACTGTACCTGGAAATTTGAGAGAAGGGATATTTTGGATCTGGAGGACCCAGATTTAAATCATCTTAGAAGGAACTACCCATTGCACAACTGGGTGATTCTAGGTCGGCTCTGTGATCCAAAACGCTGATTCCTCACTGAAGAGGTCAGAGATCATTCTTTCATGGACCATTCGCAACAAGACAGGATGCTGGAGCGAGAGGGGTGTTTGGCTCTCCAAGGAAGCAGTCCCAGGGAGTGGATTTGGGCACCACAGGATCTGGACTCAGTTGCTGATTCTACCCCTTAATGGCTGAGGAATAAAAGCTACTTTCTGCGAGTCTTAGACTCTCTTTATTTTAAGTGATGGCAAGAACAGATATTATCTTGCGGTGTTTCTGTTTCGTGTGCACATCTCACTTGTGAGAAGTGAGGTCATGTATGTGACAGTGCTTTGCAAACCAGCAGTCACTGCACAGGGCCTGTCATTGTTATTATTGTTCAAGTGGGAGCTGTAGGCTCAACAGGTTCTCTTGACCTCCAAAAAATGCCACTTAGTCATGTGTACAAGATTCGGTCTCTGAGGTGTGAAGTTATATTTTGTCGGTTTCTTCCCAGTCTGGGACTTTCTCCGCTTTGAGCTTTGATCGCTGTCTAGCACATTCGCTTTTATATTCAGAGGGTACCATGCTTCAAGAAAGTCAAAAGGCTTTGCGGACAATTATTCACTCATTCTTGCATTCGAAGAGCCAAGGAAGAAGAAAACTCTTTTGGAGGCCAGCAAAATGGAGACAAGCAGGATCCAGAAAGCCAGGCTGATTGCTCACCTGTGCTTTGGCTTGCATTTCTCCGAGTCTGCAAAGGGGGGCTTTGTGCCCTCTTCTGTAGCCTGCTCCCATTTCTACCAAAATCTAGGTCAGGGTTTCACCTAAGGTATGTGGGAAGGAGAGGGGTTCTTACAGAAGATTTGGGTAGAATGAGAGCTTTAATCATACTGTAGTAAGGTTGGCCATTCAACGCAAGGCCTTGGCAATGACCCCAGCGGCTCATCTACATGGCTGCACCACATTACCTCACAGTGTAAGGCCATTGGCTCAGATCCTTGGATACCATGAGGCCAACTCTGGTCTCCAAGAGACTTTCCGTCAGCCCTATGATTCAAAAAGTTTAAGAGTTTCTCCAAGAAGCTCCTCGTGAGACCGAATTCACTCAACACTTCATTATTTCTTGTGTTGTGCAGATTTAGGTGGGTTCCTATTTGGATCCTCAGTCACCTGCCCAATCTTTCTCAAGTTACAAAAGTATCCGACCTCCACGAGATGCTTTTGACTGTGCCTTTCCACTGGGCACTGGGGTGACCGGAAGACCTTCCGGAAACATGGATGCTTTGGCTCCAACTTCAAGCTTTCTGATTAGTGTGTGAGGCCCATAAACAAATTGGTGGGAAAGCGTTTCCTGCAAAAGGCTCATCAAAATCCGGTGTGTGTGTGTGTGTGTGTGTGTGTTCCAAAAATAGAACTGGTGCCTTTAAAGAAACACAAAATTCAGAAAGGGCAAGACACAGGAGGACGCAAATACTTCCTATAAATGCGGGGTTGTGTTTTTCCATAAACATTTACTTTTGCTCTTTTCTGATGTTCTTTGACCTTGTCTCTCATCCACCAAGTGGCTAGAAGTACAGGCTCCCCCAGGGACTCCAGTGGCCAGGGGAACAAGCAGGGGTTCTGTCCCTGCCAATGTCAGGGCCTCTGGATGTTCTCTTGGCTGTTCTCTTGGCTGTTCCTCTTCCTGGTCTCAGAAATGAACACATTACTTGACCTTATGTAAATTACAGATTAATGGGAGGGCAGCAGATGACTTGTAACCTACATGCAAGCAGGAGCCACACTGCCCGTAAACTGTCAGATGCAATTCGCTCAAAATGCCTATTACTGGCGGTAAGAAACTTCCTTAGAATTCTTGCTACCTCGGACTTTGTGAGAGAGCACCCCAGTTACTTCCAGGAAAGCACCAGCCCAAGTCTGGTAGAAGGCTTGTGCTGAAGCTTTGGGAAAATGGAAGGTTTTCACATGGCAGCATTTCAAAACCTGCGACAAGAGAAAGTGGATTCCCACATGCTCCCGAGTCTCGAGGCTCATCCTTTTCCAGAAATTCCTTGCCGGTCTCCACGGTCGCGTTTCTCTGCCTCTATCTTATCCTTCCCGATCACTCCTCCTGCCTTCCCACTGGCATCACGCACAGATGACTGTTAACCCCTTGTGCACAGACGTCCAGCTAGCAGGGCTGACCTCATCTTCCTCCCCAACAGGGCCATCTACTGCAGAGGAACGTTATACCGCTGGCCAGGAGGTAAGAGGGGTTACCACCAGTTACAGTTTTTAACAACACTGTTCCCTCTTCCATCGCCCCATATTGGAAAACTGTATTTTTAGCAAGAGAAGAGTCTTCAGTGAGTTCTTCTTGGAGTAACACCTGACATGGAACACACGCTTCCTCAGAAATTGTCATCAGTTCCTCTTCTACACATCCAAGCCTCGTTGAAGAGCCGCAGAACCTTGCAACATCCCGAAGTGCCTCGTCTTGGTGGGTTTACACAGCCGATCACGGTCCATGCTGACAGGAGAAAGGCAGGCGTTGGCAGAGGGCCTTCTGGAGCCACTCTCTCTTCTCATTTTTTTTTTTCTTGCCATCTATTGTCTGCAGAGCAGCGGAAGCGATCTTTAAAAAAAAAAAAAACTCAAATCGGGGGCGCCTGGGTGGCTCAGTCCGTTGAGCGTCCGACTTTGGCTCAGGTCACGATCTCGCGGTTCGTGGGTTCAAGCCCTGCGTCGGGCTCTGTGCTGACAGCTCAGAGCCTGGAGACTGTTTCTGACTCTGTCTCCCTCTCTCTCTCTGCCTTTCCCCCACTCGCACTCTGTCTCTGTCTCAAAAATAAATAAACAATTAAAAAAAAAACCCTCAAATCAAACCATGTCATTGCCTTGCTTAAAATTCTTCAGTGGTTCCCATGTACTTACTTATCTCTCTCTAGTCTTACTACCCTCCAGCTGTGATGTCTCCTCAGCCCCCAAACACACCAGGATCTTTCCCGCATCGGTCTCTTTGCCTTCACGCACCCCCTTCCCCGCTGCCTGGAACTGAGCTGCCTGTTGCCTCTGTTCTTGGCACAGCCAGATGCTGCCCATCCTGCCTAACTCAGCGTCAGTGTCGCTTCCCCCCCTCCCGAAGTCCTTCTCTGATGACCCTCTCCTCACCATGCCCCTGCATTCTCCCCTGGGGTCTCCTTCCCCCGTTCACACCACTTGCCACAATCTGTTATTATTTTATTTCTCATTGGATTGCTTGGTACTTTCCTGTCTACCCCGCAAGCTCAGGTATCGGCAGACTTCTCCTGCAAACAGTCAGATAGTAAATATTTCAGGTTTGCGCCATACGGTTTCTTCTGGGACAAGTCAATTCTGCTGCTGTGGTGCAGAAGCCACCATAGATAATACACGAGTCAGCACGATGCATTCCAATAAAACTTTCTTGATGGACACAAACACCTGAGTTTTGTTTAGTTTGCATGTGTCGTAGAATATTCTTCTTTTGATTTCCATTACATTTTAAATCTTTTTGTTTGTTTTTGAGAGAGAGAGAGAGCAGGGGAGGGGCAGAGAGACAGGGAGAGACAGAACCCCAGCCCCAGCACGAGGGGCTCAGTCTCACAAACCATCAAGATCGTGACTTGAACCGAAATCAAGAGTAGGACGCTCAACCGACTGAGCCACCCAGGCACCCCTCCATTACATTTGAAAACATAAAAACCTTTCTTGTTCATGCAAAAACAGATGGCAGACTAGATTTGGAATCATGGGCAGTAGTTTCCTGTCCCCTCATGAGGCCAGGAATGAAGTTGATTTTCTTCCCTCTTGAATCACTATCACCTACCCCAATTCCCAGCACATAATGGGTGTTCAAGAAATACATATTAAACGAATGGGACAACGATGTCAAGATCGAGGCAAAAGACTTATGGACTGGCAGGCAGTCCATAAGGAGAACCAAAGACAACAGTACAAATATGAACAAAGAAAACCGTCTGGGGAAAAATGAATATAGACCACTAAATATTGTACCAAAATGCCTATGCGCAATGTATTAGCCAGGAGTGCTCTTCCAGAGAAACAGAACCAATAGGAGGTTATATACATATAATATATATAGTAATATATTATTATGTATATACATATACATACATATATAATAATATATATTATATGTAATAATATAATATTATGTATATACATGTACAGACATGTAATATATAATATATGATAATATAATATTATGTATATACATATACTGACATATAATAATATATATTATATGATAATATAATATATTATATACAATAATATAATATTATATATACATACATATATAATATATATTATATATAATAATAGAATATTATGTATATACATATACTGACATATAATAATATATAATATATGATAATATAATATTGTGTATATACATATACAAACATACATAATAATATGTAATATATAATAATATAATATTATGTATATACATATACAGACATACATAATAATATATTATATATATTATATATAATAATATAATATTATATGTATACATATACATACATATATAATAATATATATTATATATAATAATATAATATGTATATACATACATATATAATAATACATATTATATATACATTATGTCATATTACTACACTATATAATCTATTATATACAGTACATTTTATAATAGTAGACATTACACATGTGTGTATTTATATGTACATATATGTAACTCATATGAAATTTGTGTGTGTACATATATGAATTCGTATATTATATTCATATAACTATACACATATAATTGATTTATATAATAATATTTATTACATATACATAGCTTTATTACAGGAAGTGTCTCATGTGGTTTTGGAGGCCAGGAAGTCCCACAATCTGCTGTCTGCAGGCTGTAGAACCAGGAAGGCCCGTAGTATAATTTGACCTGAGACCAAAGGCCTGAGTCTCAGGGGGTTGATGGTGCAAATCCCCCTCTGTCTGGAAGCCTGAGGACCACGGGCCCCCAAGTCGAAGGGCCAGAAAACACGGACGTCTCAGCTCCAGCAGAGGAAGCGAATTCACCCTTCCTCTGCCTTTTTGTTCCATTCAGGCCCTCGGTGTGTCAGATGATGCCCACCTGCATTGGTGAAGTCACTCTCCTTGACTCAGTCTACTGGTCACTAATTCTAATGCTAATCTCTCCCAGAGACACCCGCACGGACGCACCCAGAAATAATGTCTCACCTGCTATCTGGGCACCCCTTCGCCCAGTCAAGGTGACACATAAAATCAGCCATCACACCCAATACACACTCTCCGATTCAAAGGACACGCAGTAAGATCCCAGGCGGTTCAGGAACACGCAAGGGGATGCAGTGGGTTTTATTACGTTTATGATTTTGAGACTGGAATATATTTGGTTTGTCAATGATGAAGGAAGCTCGTGGGATATATGACCCAGTGGGTCCTTTACAATTTGGGTAGTCTTAGTTATGTGAGAAAAATCTTAATGCTTAGCCATTAAAAGACAATAATTCAAGTTTATTTAATAGACTGATTCCAAAAATGTGAACAATTTCAGATTTGCTTTCCAAAACAATAGTCCCAGTTGTAATTCAAGCAGCAGTAAGAAGTCTTATCAGTGCTCCTTGGCAGAATTGTGTTTATGTGGGTGCATGTCTTAGCCTGACTAATTTAATGGGCCAAAAAACCGAATTTCTGTTACTTTGTTTTCAAGTGGAATTTTTTGTCATGTTTTTATCATTATCTATATCCATCATGTTCTTGGCCCATCTGTCTCCTGGGCTTTTCCGGTTAATTTGTATGAGGCTTTTATATTTTTAATATTTAAGGAGAACATTTAATTTCCTGACCTCATGTTATGATGGTGGGCGGGGGATGTTCTCTAAAGAAAAGATTCTTCAAGTCCTTCTTTGAAATCCTTCAAGTCTGGGGACGAATATGGAAAGGGGTAGGGGAGCAGTGTCCCGGAACTTGAAAAGGAAAAATGGTATCTTTACTTTTTTTTTTTAATTTTTTTTTCCAACATTTTTATATATTTTTGGGACAGAGAGAGACAGAGCATGAACGGGGGAGGGGCAGAGAGAGAGGGAGACACAGAATGGGAAACAGGCTCCAGGCTCCGAGCCATCAGCCCAGAGCCTGACGCGGGGCTCGAACTCACGGACTGCAAGATCGTGACCTGGCTGAAGTCGGACGCTTAACCGACTGTGCCACCCAGGCGCCCCATTTTACTTTTTTTTTTATCTGTCCCTTGAAATTAGGATTCTTTCCACTCGAAATGTAAGCAAACAGCCACGTTCATATTAACAGTATATATTGCACTTGGCTGCCAATAAAAACCACAGGTATTTTTACATCATATTTAACATATCAAAATATGATACGCTCATCACTACATCAAAATCACAGCAGTTATCAGATCTGTCACCAGATCATGGTATTCAGTGGGCTAATTAAGAAGAATGTATTTTACTAGACCGCAAAGTTTTCAAAATATTTTTTATAACTGAATTTCAGCACAGTTGCTTCCCTTTGCCATAAATCGAATCCGTTTCAAAACATTCTGGAAGGGGCACTTGGGTGGCTCTGTCAGTTAAGCCTCTAACTCTTGATTTCGGCTCAGGTCTTGAGCTCACGGTTTGTGAGATCGATCCCCACGACCGGCTCTGTGTTGACAGTCCAGAGCCTGTTTGGGATTCTCTTCCCCTCTCTTTGCCTCTCTCTCTGTCTCTCTCTCAAAAACAGGTAAACATTTAAAAAATATTCTTTTTAAAGAAATTGTTTTATGTTTACTTATTTTTGAGAGAGAGAGGACAGAGCATGAGGGGAGAGGGGCAGAGAGAGAGGGAGACACAGACTCCGAAGCAGGCTCCAGGCTCTGAGCTGTCAGCACAGAGCCCGACGCGGGGCTTGAACCCACAAACCTTGAGATCGCGACTGAGCCAAAGTCACGATCCGCGTCAGAGGACTCCTTGATTTGAGCTGCAATCAGAGCGATGCGGCCATCCGGGGGCTGTCGGGCTTCTTAGCTTGGGACACGCTGCACAAACACATAATGTTTGCTTACGGTGTCGTGGGCGGGCGAGACCCAGGAGGATCCGCTCAGAATCGGGGGCCGGGAAGAGTCTGGGCAGGCCCAGCCCTGCTCCGACTTTGCCCCTTACCAGGAGTCTGCCGCCAGCTCGGGTCCCTCATCCACCTGCCGCCGCAGGGCTCACGTCGGAGGGCAGACAGTGGAGGCCGGTAGGGCTGCCTGCGGCCCTTCGTGCTGCAGGGGCACCGCTCATGAGGAGCCTGCTGGAACCGTAATGCCCGCTCCATCTGTCAGGTGCCCGAGAAGGAACCAGAGCCAGAGTCTCCCCCGCATCCCTCCACGCATCTCGCTCACATCCCACGCAAGCCGTGGTCGCACGGGCCTTCTAGTGTCCCACACACCGACAACAGTCCCAGTATCTGCCACCAAGGCGGCTGTCAGAGTCCCCGCCCCGCCTTCCTCTGCGAGTGTCGTCCGGGCCCGGCCCGTTGTCTGGGCGTCCGGCCAGCCCCAGCCATGGAAACTCATGACTCCTTTGTGCTCTGTGTTCATCAAATGACCTCCATTCAGCCTCGGCGGCTTCCTTTCATCCACTTCTAACTTCTGATGTTCGCGTTGGTGTCTGTCACCCCAGGTTCGTCTTCCAAGGGCTCTCAGGGCGCGTGCCCCCAAGCAGAGAAGGGCCTCGAAGTCTGGAGAGTATCTGGTCAGCTACGGAATATTCTTGAAAACAAATTCAGGGCAGCGCCCCGCCCCGGGATCTTGGAAGGGGGAGCTCGGAGGAGGGCACATGTCCCCCTCTGGCTCTCCCCAGGGTGTGTAGGTACACCCCACCTGGAGGTTGGGAAGGAAGGCCGGCTTCTCTGAAAGCATTTCTCCATCCGGTCGGTTCTTGTCCAGCCTGTGCAGCTCTTGGGGACACCAACCAGAGCTTGAACGCTCCTTGGGGCACCTGGACGGCTCAGTCGGTTAAGCAGCTGACTCTTGACTTCGGCTCCAGTCATGATCTCACGGTTGGTGGGTTCGAGCCCAGCACCGGGCTCTGTACTGACAGCACAGAGCCTGCTTGGGATTCCCTCTCCCTCATTCTCTGGCCCTCCCTCCCCCCACCACAACCCCTCAAAATCAATAAACAAACTTTAGGAACTAAACGTTCCTTTATCCGAACAAGGATTTTGAGAGAAGCACCTTGTCCCTGCCGTGGAAACATGCACGGGACAACCAGGGTCTTGGAGCAGAGTTTCAGCATGAAACGTGTCTTCTCTTCCAGGTGCTTGCTGAGGGCAGGCCCTGCCTCCACTGAGTGCTCAGCTTCTAACATAGCCTTGGCATTCAAAAGGCTTAGAAATGTGACCAGGGATCATACGTTTGACTATGACCTCCTTGGCACTCTAGAACCTGTCCTGGGTACTAGCTTATAGAAGTCACATTGGCTAGACTCGAAGTTCAGTTAGAAAGACTATGGGGCGCCTGGGTGGCGCAGTCGGTTGAGCGTCCGACTTCAGCCAGGTCACGATCTCGCGGTCCTGAGTTCCAGCCCCGCGTCGGGCTCTGGGCTGATGGCTCGGAGCCTGGAGCCTGGAGCCTGTTTCTGATTCTGTGTCTCCCTCTCTCTCTGCCCCTCCCCCGTTCATGCTCTGTCTCTCTCTGTCCCAAAAATAAATAAACGTTGAAAAAAAAAATTAAAAAAAAAAAAGAAAGACTAGAGGGGCACCTGGGTGGCTCGGTCGGTTAAGCATCCAACTCTTGCTTCCGGCTCAGATCTCACGGTTCGTGGGTTTGAGCCCCGCCTCCGGCTCTGTGCTGGCAGCGTGGAGCTTGCTGGGGATTCTCTCTCTCCCTCTTACCACCCTCCCCTCTCAAAACAAATATGTTAATTAAAAAAATAAAGTAGAAGAACTGGGAAGAATGGCCTAGAAACCACGTGTTTTGATGGACTCTCGAAGTCTGCTTTAACCCAGAGTGATCCAGTGTGGGAAAAGAGAATATTAAGTGAAGCATGTTTAAGTTGTTTTCACGTACTTGAGGATGGCCAAAGGGAGGGAGAACGATCTTATTTTAGATAGTTCTCGATGGGGGGTGGGGGGAGAAAGTGATCAATTTTACCTGGTTCAATAGGTAAAATGTACAGCAAGGCGATTTTCAGCTCGATACCAAAAACAAAGCACCTTGCTCACAATTTGAGCGGCCCCTAATGGGTCATGCCGTATTCGGAAACAGGGAACCTCTCACCACTGGAGATGTTCATTTCTTCTGCAGGAGATTTCCTGGTAGAATTGGGCGGTAGAATTGGGCAGATGACCCCTGAGGTTCCCACTAATTCTAATGCCTTATGATCACCATACCAGGGAGAAGAGACGAAAACGGAAAATGAAGTTCAGCCTAGTTGCACGTTTATTGAACCTCCGCAGTCTGCCGGGCTGTCGTGGTCATTGGCTCACATGCTGTGCAAAGTTCTGGAGCTACCAAGAAGAATCAGATTTCCAGATTCTTTCATACAACGATACATGGGATTGTATACAAAAAACAAAAAAAAAAACCCCAAACAAACAAACAAACAAACAAAAAACAACAGCCAAGGAGGCAGTGTCATTAATTCTACCTGAGTAGTTTGGCAAGGACTGGAAAGTTGAGATGACACCACACAGCAGGGCTTTCAGAGAGATAGGCCTTCTGTGTGCAGGCACGCCCTCCCCCGTATACAGAAAGGGCCAACATGACAAACGCACAGCCATTACAGGCCAGTTGGGTCAAGCAGCAAAACGACCCACGCAGCCAAAATATGCAGCGGTGGCATGAAGAGATGGGACGCTGTAAGTAATAAAGGAAAGAACTTCCCAAACGAGTCCCCGCCAAAGAGAGCCCAGGACTTCTGGGAAACCTTACACCTGTTGCGGAGACGAGAGCCATCTTGCTCCAGGTTCTCTAAGGACTGGGTCCTCGATCTCCCCTCCTATCACCCGTTCTCCCTGAGGAGACTTGATGGGAGTCCAAACCTTTGGCTTTTCCATGCGAACGGCCCTAGAATGGACGAGGGGAGGGAGGAGCGGAGGGGGCATCTGAAAAGAGATTCTAAGCGGGAAGCGGAACCTAAAATATTCCCCAGGGCATTCCACGCCAACACCCACGAGGTCAGGCGGGTCTGGCTTTCGCCACCTCTTTGTTAACTTGCTTAGGGATTTTCGTTGCTGGTTTTACTCTCTTTCGCACCTTAGTGGGGCCTCGAAGGAAACCATCTGGACCATCCAACCTCACGTGTAATTAGGGAGCACCTATTGCCCAGATTGTCTTCCACGTTTTACTTGTCCTTCTCTGTCCATCCCTTACTCGTTCAACAAGTCTTCACCGAACACACAGCGTGTGTCACCCGCTGCTTGAGAAAAAGCGACCGGACACTAAACAAAACGAGACAAACCCCGCCCCCATCCCTATGGGATTCTCTTCGACGCCCCCTCCCAAGCCCAAGCCCCGAGTGCCATACAGAACATACCCGGAGACTAAGGATCCTTCCTTGAAAACCAGCATGCTCTAAATGGATTCGCTTCTTGATTTGCCCACTCTGAATAAGGCTTTAACTGTAATTCTCAGTTGGAGCCCAACAGGCCCACAAAGCTATTTATAACTGTATCTGAAGGGTATTTTAGCCGAGGACTTTATGGAAATAGCAATTGAGGATGGTTGAACATCTTGATATCGCGTTACAATTTATAGAAAATTAAAGAAAACTCTGCTCCCAAACTGCTCTAATTTCCTAGTTTCAGCATCCTCGTCAGTCTGTTTCTTTTTTTTTTTTTTAATTTTTTTTTTCAACGTTTATTTATTTTTGGGACAGTGAGAGACAGAGCATGAACGGGGGAGGGGCAGAGAGAGAGGGAGACAGAATCGGAAACAGGGTCCAGGCTCTGAGCCATCAGCCCAGAGCCTGACGCGGGGCTCGAACTCACGGACCGCGAGATCGTGACCTGGCTGAAGTCGGACGCTCAACCGACTGCGCCACCCAGGCGCCCCTCGTCAGTCTGTTTCTAAAGATAACTTCTTCTCCCTCAACTCTACCGATGCCGGGCTGCGCAGAATGGCCGGGCAGAAATGACTTTGTCTGACAGCTGCCTGTCTCTTTCTGGGACTCTGGTGACTTTCTTAACTTCGCTGTGCCTCAGTTTCTTATTGTAAGATCACCTAATGATAGTAACTCCCTCATAATATGACAGTGATGCTCGAATGGGTTCAACCCGCAAAGTGCTTTAGAAAGGAGACAAGTTTAATAGGTGTGCCAGCTAACATTCACTGTTGCTGTTGTCCCTTCACCCCTGCCTTGTCCCAAGGTTTTATTATTTCAGATCCAAAGGCTACAAAGTGTAGTGCCTTGCCTCTAGTAGATACCCAATACATAACACCTCCAATTAATTACCACATCGGTAGAGGAAACGTGAGTCCAGTCCTCAAGAAATTCACAATGAGTAGAAGACGCAGAGACATACACAAGCCACAACAGTCAGAGCCCATCTGTAGAAGGTCACACCACAACCGTATGACACATTAAGGCACATGATTAATTCTTTCTG